GCCACATTGCAGCCCCCTTCCTGGTTTGGAAAGGCCGCAGGCATAACGCAAACAGGGTGAACGCCGTGTCCATCACCAGAGGGGTGGGGAGCGTGCCTGGCCCAATGCCCATGACCAACGGGGGTACGCTGCTGGCGCTGGAAGACGGTCCCGCCTACCGCGTAGGCCAGCGATGGCAGCTGCTGCGTCGGCACGCTGCCACGCTGGGAACCGGAATCGCGTTGGGAGCAGGCGTCGAGCTGGGAGTCGGTGTCATGTCGGCGTTGAAGCCGCTGGCACGTGCGTGCGTGTTGCGCCCTACGCACTGTGTCCTGCGACTGCATATGGGCTTGCATAATGCTACACATCTCCTGCGGGTGCATCGGTAGCGTTCCTGGTGCGTTCGGTGCCCCCCCCTGGTTGGCGCCACAATAGTGTCGGTGTCATACGGCAGCGGCTGGCACGCCATGTGTGGGCGGCCGCCGTTCGGATCTCCGTGCCCGCGCGGACTGCAGACGGAGCATATCGTCCGCCAGGTCTCTTGCGCACTTATTGTCGGTGTACTCGCCAGCCTTGAGGGTGTCGTCCCGCACGACCAAGAACTTTGGGACAAAAACAAACAGTTTGGCGGTGGTGCAAGCGCCTGCATGAGCAGGTAAAAAGGGGCGCGCGGCGAACGTGGACAGGAACGGCACCCCGTCGGAAACCGCCCCAAGGGACCACTCTCAGAACAGAGCCCAGTAGTTCCGATCAAGGACTGACAGTGACCCCCAGCAAATTCATCTTGTCGATGGCGTTCTGTTACTGAGGCCTTCAGTGGAGCTCCCTATTGGGCCACGAATCACGAAAGGGGTGTGCCAAAATAGGCGCGGCGGCGCTATGCGGGCCATGCCACTGGGGCGGTCGTTGCAGCTCCCTATGGTGCCACGAAACGTGCGAGGTGTGAGCTGAAATATACGCGGTGGCGCCGTGCGGACCCTGCCACTGGGGGTCGGAGATTGACATGGGAGGGCTGAGGCAGAAAAGCGACGAAGGAGGGAGCGGGAGGATGTTCATGGTGATGATGGTGGTGATGCTGATGATGCTGATGATGATGCTGATGGTGATAATGGTAATGATGACGGTGATGATGATGATGCTGATGATGATGATGGTGATGATGGTGATGTTGATGATGATAATGATGATGATGATGATGATGATGATGATGATAATGATAATGATAATGATAATGATGATGATGATGATGATGATGATGATGATGATGATGATGATGATGATGATGATGATGATGATGATGATGATGCTTATCATGATGATGACGCTCATGATGATGACGATGATGCCGATGGTGGTGATGATGACGATGATGACTGTGATGGTGATGCGGATGTGTGGAGGGTATAGGCAGGGATAGGAATGGGGGAGGAGAAGGTGGGAGGAAGGACGCTGAGCGCCCTGTCTTCAGAACGAGCCCAACACATTACAGTCGGGGCGTTGACCGAAGGAACCCAAAATAAGGAACGAGGCCCCCTTTTTCCCAGAAGTTACACGTCGATCTCCCATGGGAAACCTCATGAAAACCTAAGGCAAGCTGTAGAACAATCAAGGAACACCGAGGCCCTCTCCAACGAAAAGGGTTCCTTCTTCAGCTCCCCGACTGTATGGTTGGGCACAATCTCCAGAAGGCTCACCAGGCCTCAGCCTTCTAAGAAACTGTTCAAGCGCCTTCTCTCCGAAGTCCGGCCACCTTCAACAGAAAGCCTGCCCACAGCCCAAACATCCGATGAGCTGTTGTTTTCAATGCGCGGCCCCAAATATCCCGACCACTTGGGTGGGGACAGTTTTCCGTTCAGATCCGTGTCTGATTGTCCTGGGGGCCCGACAAAAGCCCTCCGGGGGACGACATCGCGGGAAGCCACATGCATCGAAAAGTAAAATTATCCCAGAGCGACCCTACCTAGGAGTTGGAGCCCCGAGGAGATCAATATTAATAGTAACGGTAAATGCCGTCATCCTCCTTCTCCTCATCGTCGCAGTTGTAGCAGTAACGGAAGTAGCAGTAGTAGTAGTAGTAGTAGTAGTAGTCGTAGTAGTCGTAGTAGTAGTCGTAGTAGTAGTCGTAGTAGTAGTAGTAGTAGTAGTAGTAGTAGTACTAGTAGTAGTACTAGTAGTAGTAGTAGTAGTAGTAGTAGTAGTAGTAGTAGTACTAGTACTAGTACTTAGTAGTACTAGTAGTAGTAGTAGTAGTAGTAGTAGTAGTAGTAGTAGTAGTAGTAGTAGTAGTAGTAGTAGTAGTAGTAGTAGTAGTAGTAAGTAGTCCGTAGTAGTAGTAGTAGTAGTAGTAGTAGTAGTAGTAGTAGTAGCAGGAGTAGCAGTAGTAGCAGTAGTAGTAGTAGTAGTCGTAGTAGTAGTAGTAGTAGTAGTAGTAGTAGTAGTAGTAGTAGTAGTGGTAGTAGTGGTAGTAGTGGTAGTAGTAGTAGTAGCAGTAGTAGCAGTAGTAGTAGTAGTAGTAGTAGTAGTAGTAATAGTAGTAGTAGTAGTAGTAGTAGTAGTAGTCGTGGTAGTAATAGTACAGCTTAATACCAACATCTACATCTAGACCTACATCCACACCTACACCTACAGCTACGTCTGCATGTACACATGCATATGCATCTACATCTACACCTATACTCACATCTACACCTACACTCACATGCTATGCTATGCTATGATATGCTATGCTATGCTATGCTGTCTATGTCTGCATCTACATCTACATGTACATCTACATCTACAATTACAATCACATGTTATGTTATGCTATGCTGCGCTGTGCTATGCTAAGTTAAGCTATGCGATGCGATGCTATGCTGCGCTATGATATGATATGTTATGCTATGCTGCGCTATGCTATGCTGCGCTATGATATGCTGTGCTATGCTATGATAGTATATGATACGATATGTTATGCGAATGCTGCACTGCGCTGAGCTAAGCTAAGCTGAGCTGAGCTAAGCTAGGCTAGACTAGGCTAGGCTAAGCTAAGCTAGGCTAGGCTAAGCTGAGTTAAGCTAAGCTAAGCTAGGCTAGGCTAAGCTAAGCTAAATAAGATGAGATAAGCAAAGCTAAGCTAACGGGGCGCAACTGGGGGAACCGCGGGGCGGATCCTGGGGAAACCGCCCGGGGCGAGGAACACTACCCGGCCCTTTAAGCTCACAGGGTAAGAACCCTTCTAGGCAGAGCCTAGGTAGGGGAAAAAAATGCGGCGTCGGAAAGATTGGCTTGGCTCACCGCCGACGATGCAGCAAACGTGCAAGCATGTTTCGGGGCGCGCGGATCCGCAGCGCGTCCTGTTCCCGTACGGACTCGGTGCGCTCCCCCTCGCCAGATCGGGCGGCATCGGCCTCAAGAGTTTCGGGATCACCTTCTCCCCGATCCGTGGGCCCCCACATCGCAAATCTGGGGAAGCCAGAGCTCGCCATCGCTCGGACGTCAATTCCCTGTGTTGTGTTTTTTTCGGTTTCGTGCGTGGTTTTTTCGCCAAATGGTCAAGGATGCTCCTCGATGGTCCTCGCCGAAGGAAACATGCACACATCCGAGCGATGCCAAGAGAAGGTACCGACGGCGCCACCGGCGCGCGTTCTGGCAAGGATCTCGGGGCGAATCCAGCGGCGGCGACGAGGACAGCCCAGGAGGCCGAAACCAGGAGAAAGGGCAAACGGCAGCGGTGTCGGAAGCTTCTCTGAAGGGGCCCTGGGACACACAAATAAATACACACAAATGAAAGGATTCCCCATATGTTCTCATATTTTCTGGGTTTTTGTCTTCCCCCCCACATCCCATATTTCCCCATATTTTCATGGGAATCGACGATTCATTGTGTCTGTGTGTTTTTTCCGTCCCTCCTGATTCTCCTCCTCTGCTAGTCCATGTTCAGAGGAGCAAGCCTCTGCAGAAACAGCATGAGTCGGGTGCCCGCGCGAACCTCTCGAGTCGGCGCCGGCCCCCGCCCTCCGAGCGCGGAGCGCGCTCGGGGGGGCCGGCGCCGAGAAGCGTGCCGAGAATCTCTGGTTATGCAATGGGCTGCAAGCATGAGAATCATAGGGCCGGGCGAAAGGGGGGGGGAAAGGGGGGGGATAGGGGGGGGGTGAGAATCCGCGCACGCAGCTGATTTTCCCGGCGCCTCCCGGCGCCAGGAGGCGCCCATGCATCGAGGAATGGGCCTGGCGGCGGGGCCGAAACCAGCTGCACGCAGCAGATGTCGTAACCCTCCCTTTCCCCACCCCCCCTTTCGTTCGGGCCGTTTTTTTATGTGCATGCAGCTGTTTGCAACGCAGTGCACCCGAGAAGATCTGCTTGTGCCGTTGTGTTCTCCGAACTTCCGCGTGACAAAGGCTGACGCTGCCCCTGGCCGGAGGCTTGCCAACGCTCGGACGCCTGGTCCCCGGGATGCTCCAGGCTGCCCCCGACTTTCTGGCGCTGGCCTCGCCGAACAGAAATGCAACCGTCCGAGCGGTACCCTCGGGGGGAGGAGGAGGAGGAGGAGGAGGAGGAGGAGGAGGAGGAGGAGGAGGAGAAGGGGAGGAGGCAGGAGGAGAAGAGGGGGGGGAAAGAGGAGGAGGAGGGCGAGGAGGAGGAGGAGGAGGAGGAGGGCGAGACGAGGACGGAGGAGCGAGGAGGAGGAGGAGGAAGAGGGAGGTGGAGGAGGAGGAGGTGGAGGAGGAAGAGGAAGGAAAAGGGGGAGGGGAGGAGGAGGAGGAGGAGGAGGAGCGAGGAGGAGGGAAAGAGGAGGGGGGGGGTGCGAGTAGGGAGTTTAGCGAGGAGCGAGGAGGAGGGAGGGTGGAGGCGAAGGAGGAGAGGAGGAGGAGGAGGAGGTGGAGGCGAAGGAGGAGATGGAAGAGGAGGAGGGGGGGGGGGGGGCGACAAGGCGCGAGAGGCGAGAGGCGCCGGCGGGCGGCGCCCACGGACGCTGGCGCCACCAGGCCGGCGCGGCGAACGGCCGCCGGCCGAGCGGGGGGGGGGGGCGGTGGGGCTGCCAGGCCGATGTCGAAGTGGTGGGAGCCTTCCCTCCTCCCTGAATCGGGGCGGGCGGCATCGGCGCGTCGGATCAGCGAGAGGGAGGGCCAGGCCGGAGGAGTCCGCTCCCCCTCCTCCTCCTCCTGCACTCCGCCTGCCCTCCTCTCCCGCCGAATCCTCCCGCCTAATCCTCCTGCATCCATACTCAGCCTACAGACGACCGCCCTCCCCGCCCCTGCTAGAGTAGTTTCTGCCCGATGCAGAGCAACTCTAAACCCCTCCACGCCGACCTTCAGACCTCCTCCGCCGTCGACACGCAACCTCCCTGACCTCGCCTGCACCTGACTGATCAACTCACTCCTCCTCCCGTCACTCCATTGCCCCAACGACGCAAGAATCCAGCAAATCACAGCAAGAACCTCAAGCTCAGCCTCACTCACTCCTCCGACTCCGACTCCTCCTCCTCAAGAGCCGACTCCCGCCTCCGCATCCTCCTCCCAGCCTCGTTCCGCCTGTACAACTAGTAAACCCTCCCCCTCCTCCTCCTCCTCCTCCTCCTCCTCCTCCTCCTCCTCCTCCTCCTCCCTCCTCCCTCCTCCTCCCCTCCCTCTCCCTCCTCCACTCCTCCCCTCCTCCCGCCTCCCGCCTCCCTCCCTCCTCCTCCTCCTCCTCCTCCTCCTCCTCCTCCTCCTCCTCCTCCTCCGTCTCCTTCAATGTTGAATGGAGCCGTATAGGGTGGAGGAAAGATGGTGTACCTCCAATGGTTGCAGTAGGCCTATGGTGCCCACCTCTTGACGATTGAAAAGCTTCAGGCCGGTCTGAGCGACGTGTACCCTGACCTCGTTCTTGACTCGTGCCTGCGACGGCCGTTCGGGACGGTGCAGGCACCCCCGGGGACGCTCTCGGCCATGTGAAGCTGCCAGAGACAACCCCGAGGCTTATGTTGCCCCCATCGTACTTTAGGACCACATCCCAACAAACAAATCGAGCACCCGGAAAAGTGTCGAAAGAGTGTCGAAACAGTGTCGGGCGAGTGTTTCCCAGGGTCCGACACGTGAAAACCATAGAGTTTCGGAGTATTTTGCTGGTGCTGAAAAATTCGTTCTGGTGATCAAGGCAAAGTAAGTTGGGACATCATAACCCGAGGCAGGAGAACCTCCAGGAGCCGATGGGAAGCGTCCGAACGCCTCCAGCCGAATCGACATCGAATCAGAGACGAGTGGACCGAAGTGGGCCTGGGTCGCCCCCAAACACTTCGCGCACCGCGAGCCCGCGATGCGCGGCTTGCGACCGCGCCCTCGCGCGACCTCGCGCCGCCCTCTTCCCTCCTGGAGAGGAGCAGACCCTCTGGACCACACTTGGCGGCGCGCGCCGCAGGGTACATAGGTCGAGCCGGGCGACAGGGGGGGATAGCAAGGGGGGGGGTGAGAATCAGCGCACGCAGCTGATTTTCCCGGCGCCTCCCGGCGCCGGGAGGCGCCCATGCATCGAGGAATCGGCCTGGCGGCGGGGCCGAAACCAGCTGCATGCAGCAGATTTCGTACCCCCCCCTTTCCCTATCCTTCCCTTTAGTACGGCCCGAATAGCGGGAGGGGGACTGGCTCCTCAGGCGGGGGGGCTTCTGAAAAGGCGGGTGGCGTCTCAGAAACCCTTCCAGCCTCTCAGAGGCCGTCTTGGAACATCTGGAGCCATCCAGGCACTCGGCGCTTCTGAGAAGGCCCCTGCCTTCGAAGAAGCCCTCGCCTCCTTGAAGCTCCCCCTGGAACCATCCAGGCACCATGCGCTTCTGAGAAGGCCCCTGCCTTCGAAGAAGCCCTCGCCTTCTGAGAAGCTCCCACCCTCGCAGCACCCCACTCCGTGCGCCGCCAGCAGACAGCGACGCGCGAGGCGCGATTATCTCCGCGCCCCCGCGGTTGACCTGGGCTTTCTCTCAAGCGCCACGGGGCACGTCGGTCGCATTGAGAAGAGATGTGCAGTTCAAGGGGGCAGCTGGGAGGGAGGAGGAAGAGGAGGAGGAGGAGGAGGAGGAGAAGGAGAAGGAGAAGGAGGAGGAGGAGAAGGAGGAGGAGGAGGAGGAGGGGGCTCCCGCTGCTGGACAAAGGTCCAGCGCACAGATCGCAGCCGCGTTCCGGGCTGCGCGCCCCTAGGCTTGTTCGGCGCAGCTTCTTCTGTGAGGCAGCCATCTCCACCGCCCGAGGAACCGACGTCCTGGGAACCTTTGTCGGCCACTACGACTACTACTACTACTACTACTACTACTACTACTAATACTACTACTACTACTACTACTACTACTACTACTACTACTACTACTACTACTACTACTATTACTACTACTACTACTACTACGTCTACTACGACTACTACTACTACTACTACTACTACTACTACTACTACTACTACTACTACTACTACTACTATTACGACTACTACTACTACTACTACTACTACTACTACTACTACTACTACCATTACTACTACTACTAACGACTACTACTGCGACTACTCCTACAACTACTACCACCACTACTACTACTACTACTACTACTACTACTACTACTACTACTACTACTACTGCGGCTACTACTACTACCACTACAACTACTACTATTACTACGACTACTACTACTACTACTAC